TTGTATGTGTGACTCAAGTGGATGTCTTTTCTGATATTATTGTGTCCTTAGTGATGGATGATTCCAATCCCCGAAGCTTTCATTATCTTCCTAGACAACTTTTTCAGGTCTGATTGCTGGGGGGTTTAGTTTCTTAAGAGGATGATCATTGAAGTTAGAACGAACATCTTAATAAAGGCCAGATTCAAAGAAATGAGAGTCTTTAGATGACTTGTTTCAATATTCAGTCCACTGATATATGAGACTTCACTACATTTTCTTCTCTGCTAATATTTACAATAATAAACCTACCTAATTTGCAATTAGTAAATCAGGTCACGTAGATCTGGCTGTAAAGCACTACTGAGTGTTATAAATGGTATCCAACTACTTATATCAATCCAACCAGTAGTATATGGTATCAGGTTGTCTTTTTGACTCCTTTACGTTCCCAGTGGAACATAGGGCTTCAAGCTAGAGGCTTGAAGTTGCGGTAGCAGTGGTGTGTTTATTTTTAGGGAATAGGGTAGCTGACCTCAAGCCTAACCTTCCTTCTCTTATTACTGGCTTAGCGAGGTGTGGTGAAGGAGTGCGTCGTCCAGGGATCGAACCCTGGACCACCTGTGGCGTGGTTGGCAATTATTCCACCAGAGTGCCACCGAAGCACTGGCATTTACAATCCATTTATTATTAAATACACTTTGAGTTAGTTCAGACATTCATTCAAGAGACCAAATATTGATTATTGATAAATTTAAATCTCAGAAAGGTAACATTTGAATATTAAACTATCGCTCATTAGTGAAGTTGCCTGAATTTTTTGAAGGAAGTCGTGATCAGGAAGGTCTACCAAGTCGGGCGTAAGGAAAGATACTCACCGCGCTACATATATATATATCGCGAATTAGCAGAAGCTAGAATTGACCGAGTTTTCAAGGAGCTTGCCTTGTAACCTAAAGATCCTAGGTTCGATCCCTAGATGGAGTGAAGGAGTGCGTAGTGCTGAAGACTCCCAAGTAAGGACGAAGCAGCTGTCCCTTTACTCCTTAATTTTCAGTGGTTCTCTAACTGAAAGCCAATTAGTGATGAAAATTAAAATTCAAGTCAATTAATTGTCTATCCTAGTCTAAATATTCAATAAATGAGAGAGAAAAAGAGACAGGGAGGTGGGATGTCTTACCTTCTTTGCATTCATTGTATTTTTCAAATAGAGATGGATTAAAACCCCTAGACCAGTTAGTTATACAATCTGGGTTATTCAACTCTTTTTATTATTATTTGTATTACACGGATACAAAGAAGGAATGAAAAAGGAATGATTTGTCAGAACAAAAACGATTTTATGTTATACAAAATAATTTTTATAATCAATGTTAAATAGCTACATTATTCGGCAGAATGATTAATTTAAACAATTAATCTACCAAAATACACAGGTATGTGTAAATGCTTACATTCTGCAAACAAAATTTGAAACAAAAGCTACTTGAAACAATTTTGTATTTTTTGTTTGCATCAAAGGAGATACTATTTTGTAGAGAAGAGAAATTGATACCGCAATCATTTTGGAGGAAAGAAAAAGGAGTAGTGCGCTGGATTGTATCACATATAAATTGTTTTGTTATTATTATTATTTTTCTTTCTTTTTTTTAATCGAATGACCATTAGACTGATGGCGAATGAGCTGATTGTAAACTAATGAAACTGGTCAATTTATTTCAGGTTTGGTTTCTCGACTAATTTCTCTTCTCTCTCTCTCCCACTTCTGTCTAATATATAGTATGTGTTGTGATTATATCCAGTTTGTTGAATCACAGTTAAACACAAGCAGACCGCTCTAGACGGCTGTAAACTTTAAACAACGCACATGCTGGAGATTTGCTTAAACCGTAACAAGATAAACTGACATTTAGAAGAGGAAGGAGAATTAGAGCTCTACAGTTATTCATTGATTTTAGTATACTACAATAGCCAGTAAAGGCTAATTATACATAATGATATCAGGAAGTGTATTGTAGAACAAGTGACAAGGTGGAGTAGTTTGGCGTGTGCCACTCACAAGATTTATCATTAGTGTATACAGATGCAGAGAGATAGGAAGTGGAAAGAAACTGAAATCAACATTTTAAGTGAATGGTTGTGGCAGAGATAGAAGTGTTTATTCCTCAAATCCGGATTTAGTTTACGTTGTGGTCTGGAATTGATCTCATTGTTCAACCTTAGGCCAGTTATCAACCAATCAGAAAAGTGCACTATCGATTGACCTAACCGAATGTTAGTGTGGATAAAAATGCAGAAATATGATGCGTATTTCCTTAATATAGTCCGTTCCCAACTGTTTTATCTACTGACATTATAGTAGTAATCAGTTAATTTTGATTATCATTTAGAGTATGAGTGGTCAATAAGAACATGAGATAAAATTATATATATATATAGTCCTTCATTTAGTGCAGGCTGAATCCTATCATTCAAATTTGCAAAATGGCCAGCATTCTAGGTAGCTCGCCATCATGGTGCACTTTGAATTGTTGATATTAGATGGTTGAAGGCAGTCGACAGGAAGCCTTGCCTGACCTAAGTTTCGCGCTAGTTAGCACTCACCAGTTAGCAAAGCGTATTTGAAACCTTGAAGGGACTCATTTCCCTTCTGAGATTTGAACCCACATCACTCAGTGACTGCTACAGTCATAGACATTACTACTGAGCTATTTGGGCTCTGGATTGACCTCCTGTAGGACTCTATGGGGAGAGGGAGAGAAAGTCTACGATACAACATACACTTCCTGATATCATTATAATTTGCCTTTACTGGCTATAGTGTGCTAAAATTAGTGGATTTATAATTATATAGGCTGAAGAACTTATTGAAAACAGTTTCCCACTCTGATTATTTTTCTTCTCAACTGTAGCTCGTGTTAGTGTGAACTACCGATTGAAGTTTCTGAGTGTTAAATATTTCTAAGAAAGATTGTATTCATCTGCTTGGAAACTTTAAAGTAAATGCTGGGGAATAAGTCGATGCCAACTTTTTTGACCAAGCAAAGTTTCATGTTTCATTCAACGGCAAGAAAAATTACACTAATGGCATAAAGATGATGTAGAGAGCTTCCGAATAGCCTCAAACTAGGACGAAGTAGTTTTAATATAAAAATATACATCTGCCAATGAAGTAGGAATCTAATTTCTAAGGATTATTGCTTCTTTTTGTATTTTGACTGTCTCTTTTTTCTTCGATCATCAAACGGAAACAAGCAACTTTTTTTCATGATGATCTCTCTTTGTAATGAAACAAAAGAAGACAATGATGACAGTTGATCGATTAGGGAAAATATGTTAACTTTTTTCCCTTTAGAAAACATTGTTTCCTATGGGGGTTTCTTTCTTCAGAAAATAAATTCAAAACTAGGAAATTACTTGGAAACTTCATTTTTTTATATCTCCTGAATTATCATTGTCTCGAATCAATGAACTGATATGGTTGATTTGACTGAATTTAGTGAGTATTTGACTTTCAATTATTATTTAGCCTTAAGAGTGGGGAGAGGTTTTTAAACACGCTCCAGCTACTTCCCCTTAAGATGGCTGTATAGTATCTTATCAGATCTTTCATTAGAAGTGTAGTTGGCTTAAAGCTTATCTTTTTTTCTATTTCATTTTATTGCTTTTGTTCCCAGTGGAACATAGAGCTTGGAAGTTTTAGTAACAGTAGTGTTTTCTTAATGGGATTAAATTGCTAGGCTTATGCCCAAGCCCCTCTCTTCACTGGGCTTATTACGGGTTAAGCTAGGCAAGGGAGTGCGTCAGGGGGGGGGCGATCAAATCCTGTACCACTTGCTTGGTTGGTCAGAGACCTACCACTGAACCGCTGACTCACAAAGCTTACTTAGAATATGCAAAATTCGTTCCGAGTAAGTGACATATAACTAACTATAGGGAATAATATTTATTATGCTATTAATGTTGGGTGTTGGTGGCACAGTGGTAAAATGCTTCCCAACCACGCATTTGGTTTGGGGTTCGATTCTCGGCCGGCGCACTCCTTCACCTCAGCTTACTAAGCCAGTAATGAGACTGGTAAAGAGGGAAGGTTGGGCATAAGGCTAGCAACCCCATCCTGTAGAAGTAACACACCAGTGTTACCGAAACTTCAAGCCTCTAGCTTGAAGCCCTATGTTCCACTGAGAACGTAAAGGAATAAAATAATAATAATGCTATTAAAGCCAATAAAAATGTACAGAGCTAGAAAAATCCATCAGAAGATTTTTCGCAGTTCTCATGTAAGCAAGATACACACTCAGCTTTCTCTTGACCACTGACAACCAATTTTATTATTATGGTGAACCAGGCAGCTACCACAAATTTTCGATTGTTAGTAAAATTATCTAAGATAGTTTTGAAGTGATTAACTGATATTGATTACAATGGGATGAAATAAAGCCCTGATTAGTAAGTTAGTTGATCTTTTGATTCCTTTGTTATAGACATTTGAGCTAAGAGGTCTCTGGTTCGAATCCTATCAAGACCCAGTCTTCTGTTTCGTCAGTCATTGCAAGGATAACAGTCTTTCAACTCAAAGGGATCTCAGATACTTTCGTTATCAGAAGTATTTAATGCATTTATTAAGTCTGTTAGGAACTGATCGATTTATAGAAATAATTGTTCTCATTAGACCCAGCATGGTGTAAAGTAGACACACCCTTTTACTCCATTTCATGTTCCCTCTGCAGTACACAGTACCACGTTCTCAGACGAGATTCAATTTTTGACCGTCGGCGGATTCATCAAGCCCAGAACCATGCGAACATCAAATCTAAGATAAATCTATTTATTCTACGACAATTGACTTAAATAAGATTTCTAAATACCGGAGATTGTCAGATATTACATCTTAACTGAATGCTTTTCTCAGTGTCGATTTTTTACTTGTCAGAGGACAAATTTTCTTTTTTCAGTTTGTTTAATATTTTCTCCTTAGTAGTAATTTCATTTCTCGCTTACTTTTGTGTCAAAAAATATAGGCTACGGATTTATCGATTTCATTTCTGAAGATGCCGCCAATGAAGCCTTACAACAAATTAAAGAAACTCATCCTACATTTACAATTAAATTTGCAAAGGTAAATTACAATTTGTTTGTATGTAATCTCTTGTCGGTCAAGTTAAACTTTAAGCACCACTAACTAACATTAGAGGGCACCCACACCATTGACCTTGAACGATCCAATGAGATTTATTCACGTGAGCTGAAACTGAAAATAATGTCGTATCAGCAGTTCAGTGGTACCAGCACTGCAAGGATATCACATCCTGGAAAGTGAAGAGGCTTACTTCTTTATTGGGAGGATAAGGTGTCGTCATACGTGTAGATGAAACTGTCTGATTAGAGAAAAAATACAACCATGATCGAGAACGAGCGAATAATGTTTGGGTGATTGGTTTTTATGATACCCGTCTACAAAAAAGATTCGTCGAGAGGATAGCAGAGAGATAATCAAGTCCTTTAATACCTATTATTCCTCACCCGGTGAAACAAGGGTCTATAATACACACAGATCAGTGGAAAGGTTACAACTCATTGTCATCCCTTGGATATATTCGCCGCAAAGTTAACCATTTTAATGATTTTTGGATCCCATCACAGGGACACACACCAGTTCTGTCGAGGGCTTTTGGGGAGGCTTAAAAAGCAGGATAAGGGACATTGATGGATCTCACAAGGATGTCATTTATAGTCATTTAGACGAATAATACATGCATAAAATGTGGTGTAACTATTCAATTGATACTCCTATGCTAAACTGGGAGATGTTTTTATCACATGTGAGAAAAAGGTATCCTATGTAACACTTTTAAGCAGTTTTTATGCATTTTCTTTCATAAATATATGCATTCCATACCCAAAAATGCTTCCTTCACGTGATTGGTGCCTTTAAGGTCATTCGCTGATTGGTAGTTAGTGGTGCTTAAAGTTTAACTTTGTCCTCTTATCATTCAAATGTGGTGTTCTTTGTTTATATTTATATATTTTTGCTTGTCATTCTGGTATACGTCATAAGATTTTGAATGATACAGACTATGCAGATGTAATGAAATCACTTCAACGCATTGATGAATCAGAATTGAGTGATACTTCCTTGTGACTGATTATTTACTAGTTAAATGAAAAGTGTAGGATTACATTAATACCTATTTTAGCTGTATGGAATGCTGTTGGCCTGTTTGTACCACTGAGAGCTATCTAAGTTGCTTTTCAGCATTACATGACTACTGTTCGCCTGTTTCTTGTTGTTGTAATTTTCGAATTATGTCGTTGGATGCTAACATGAACTCACTCAAATTTTTAGTTGGCTTCCAATTTAACGCTGTGCATTATAGGAAGAAGATGAAGGGAAAGTACTGTCGAGGATTCAGTCTTGTTTAGGATAGAATGACGTTGTGTCATACGATATACTGTCGATGAGTATTTACTCGAAGATCCTATACTGGAAGTAAATCTTTTCCATAGGTTTACAGTGAGAATTCTGCATTGTAGTTCCATATTAATTTGTTTATTAGATATGTCACACAGTAACACCGTATTATTTACTGGATGACGTTGCGAACACAATTTATTGTTCATAGTCGTATCAATTATAATCACACGACTTCGAAACTTTTGTTTTATAGTTTTCTTTATTCTTTCCTATTCGTCGTTGGAGTATTAAAATTTACCAAATGTCCGGGTGGACAGTGTTGAATCATTCCTATTACAAGTACTCTTTTCAGTTGATTCGATAAATGAAGCTTCAGTTATTGATCTCTCTCCCCTGTTACATTAGATTTTACACATATATATTTAATTCTGTATCGTTTTCAAACGTCATTTCCAGAACAAGGCTAATATTATAATTATGTTCAGGAGGTTTGACGCTAAATTTTTGTACACATTTACGATCAAATGAAAGATCAAACAACTAATGATAGTGAATATAGTCAATCACCATGACATAACTTTGCTTGAATAGATGTCAGCTTCAAAAACTGTTCTGAATATATGTATAATCCATAAAGTGTATATTGATGTGTAGAGATGCCTGCTGTGAGATGAGTTTTTTAATACTTTAGTTTTCCTTGACATACTAACCATCATTTGCAACAGAATTCCCCTTAAATTCTGTCACATAAATCATTTTTAATACACTTATAGATGGCTTTCTTTGATTAGATAAAAGTCAGTAACTAGTGAAATGTATCTTATCCTTTGTTTGGTGCAGACTGAATTCTGTCAGTCACGTTTGTAATACGGCCACCATTCCAGGTGGTTCGCCATCAAGATGTACTTTAAATTTTTGATATTAGATGGTTGGAGGCGATCGTTAGGTAGCCCCGGACTTAGGTCAGTTCAATACAGTCCTACAAGAGGTCAATCACGAGCCTGAACGGCCTAGTGGTAACGTCTTTGACTGTAACAGTGAGTGACGCGGATCGAATCTCAGAAAGGACATGAGTTCCTTCGAAGTTGCATATACACCTTTCTGACGAGTGCCAACTAGAATGAAACCTATTTGGAAGGCTTCCTGTGGCCGATCGCCTCCAACCATTTAATAATCTCAGTTTAGCGTACTACTTCATTCCAAGGACCAACCTTATTTCACTGATTTCGTCTCTGGTTTTGTTCAGTTAGTATTTTAACTGAAAATTACTGCGTCGGTGGCACAGTGATTTGGACTCTCACCGACAATGCACATGATCCGGGGTTCTTTCCCCTGCCGACGCACACCCGATATCTATGGTTGGCCTGCAGAATTTGGGCTACCGATATCCATGATGGAAATTCCATACTTGTACTGAAAATACGGTGTGGCATCAAGCTGTAATAAAAATAAAAATAAAATAAACAATATTTTCATCAGCTTATATTGTTAGCAAGCATCTTGAAGTTATTGACTTTCAGCCATTTATTTGTGGACTGAATCTCTTGATCTCTGTTGTCACATTTGACACGCTTTGACTCTTTGACAAGACACTTCGATTTTGCCTTGGAATATGTAAATTTCCCGTCATTTGTTTTCACTGTACCAAAATCCTCATTCATACCTGATGGATGGTCTTCTAGAACGTGTATGTGTTTACCACTTGGATGAATGGAAATAATTGGATGGCTCTATTCGCCATTCTAAGGCATACTTTTATCCATTACTATTACTAATTACATTAGTGATGAAATGAGAAAGACGGTTGAGGGTAGAAGTAATGTTCTATTCCGGTAAAGTGCAACTGATTTCACATTTTTCACACTATTCATTCTCCATTAAGCATTGCTATTTGTTACTTGTTAGATTCTTCTAAAAGTGGTCAACATCTTTTTGAGTTTCTTTTACTGTGGCTTTTTCAATGGGACAAACAAATTATAATTACTTTTCTGAATGTATTATTCCACCAAAATACTCATATCCCTTGGCAATTAGCACACACAATATTGGTAGTCTAAGAAACAGCGACTGGTTTTACACATCACTATTAAAATAAACGCTAGTTAAAGCATACTTATAATTGCTATCCATTTTTGAGCATATATAGCACCATTTAACTCTACCAAGTGTTATGACCCCAAAGACTGCGTTCATTGAGTCAAAATCTATCGGTACACGCAGATCCAGAAGGGTTTCTTTCTCTGCGTGGGTCATATTACCAAAAGATGGCCTGTGTGCTCATCTGACTACTTTCAATGTCACAAAGCTGTTTATATAGTAGTGGTAAAAACTGTGTATGTAAATTACATACAAGTCACAATGAATACTAGTAATATTGCTTAAATAATGGACTGAAAACCGGTTATAAAAGAGTGAATCTTATAGACATATGCAGACTTGCATTTTTTCCATTCAACTTCTTACGGTTTTCCAGCTGGAATACAGAGCTTCAGCAACACATCACCACTTCCCTCTTTCTTGCCTTTCTTGTCCGGCTACACGACTGCTTATAAGCATACATCTCCTCCACATACTGTGGTGTCTTCTACTGATGAGATTTATTAGTAGTATATATATAAAGATATGTTCATCGGCATAAACCACATCAAATAGCAAGGAGATAGATTTCACCTCAGAGAAAGCAAATGACACACCGTCGCGGAGATACATGAAAGACGTGAATGTAACACAAAGAAAGACAATATGAAGGAAGGTGGGAAGTAGCACAACACGGAAGATCTGTGGAAATGGTTCGTTGAAGATAAGGTTCCGAATTGCAGGTAAACATTGCGTTACCGAGTCTCGCGTCTTCTACCGTTACAACGCGTTCTCTGCCACATCGCTCTAGGATGCCCAACTCGCCGTTTTCCATTCGGATCCCACTTGAAGGCTTGGCGCACGATGTCACTAAGTGACGTCCTTAGAGTTACCTCCTGGATATTTGTCAGGCAATAGGTTCGTTGGATGAGTTTGCTTGTTGCTTATCTTTTCTGATTTTGAGTATGAATTGAAGGCAGCTGTTGATAAAAGTCATCACCGGCCTGCTGGAATTAGTTTTCGTGATGCACCACTTCTCTGAACTATAAAGAAGTAATGACTTGACTAGTGTTGCAGTTCCACACCTTGTTATTTGTGCTAAGTGCGGTAGATTTCAACACTAATTTCAGAATGGTGAAGGTCTGTGTGTCTTCGCCAATACTACCTTTGATAGTTTTCTTTGAATGGCTAACATCGCCACAAGGTCTCAACTTACGGTGTGAAAACTTAACTACATATTATGTATTTTTAGACCCCATATATATATATATATATATATATATATATATATATATATATATATATATATATAATTCATTTGTATAGATTATCTTTTGTGGAAAAAGCCTAGATTGAAATTGTCGGCAAAATATCAATTTTCATTCTGCAGTTTACATTAAAAGAAAAGTCATCAAGAAATACAAACCAGTGTAACGTTCCGACTTTTACCAAGAATTTGAGGTTTTTTACATTGTAAAATTCTTTATAAGTTTGACACAAATCTGACTATTAGCATCCTAGAAGTAGTTGAAAATACAAAAAAACCTTTATTATAATGAATATCATATGCCCAATGCATAAATTTTTTCAAACTATTAAAAGTGAACTTGGTTTGGACGTATATATGT